TTTTCCAAGTTAGCATAATAGAACGATAAACAATGGCATGGTTTCCAATTCGAGTTGATAAAATTTCATTCCAGAGCTCAGTTACCTTCCCCTTATTTAAGTCTGCTCTTTGATTTCCACTGTTTCTGTACACCTGCCCTCTCTGACCACTTAGTAGGTTTATTTTATTCATTCTGATGATGAGAACTTGGTTGTGATTCAGATCTGCCGATGTGCTGGCGCTGTCACATTCATAACAACAGGTAATGCATGTGTGGGAGCTCAGAGTTGTGCCCTGAGGCCTGAAGACTTACCTGGAACACAGGATTTACTGAAATTATTATACAATTATTATATGATTATTATTACTATATAGAATTGTTCACTCAGTTTATTGATTGGTCTCATTTGTTGATTGGTCTTTTTGTTTGATTGGTTTTTAGTTTTTCTGAGTTGCTTCCATATTATAAACATTTATCTTTTGATGGAAAAGGAGCTAGCAATGAGACATCTATTCTGTTGATGATCTCTTTGATTGGTTTATTTTGCTTGCAGAATATTTTATTTTGACCCAGTGCCATTTGTTTGATTCTTGACATGATTTCCTGAGTCATCAGGTCCCACTCAGGGAGGCTTTTCATGTGTCCGTGGCTTCATGTATTTCTTCTGTACTTTCCCTCAAAAATTTCAAAGTGTTCAGATCTGCCCCCATCTCCCTCTGTAATCTTTGATCTGTTTTGCTTTGATCACAGGGAAATTGATAGGAATCTATTTTCAACCTCTAGACATCCAGTATTTCCAGCCTCATTTACTAAAGAAGCTGTGAGTTTTTCATCCTTCATTTTTGTTGCCTCTCTCAGGATCAGATGGCTACAGCTGCCTGCACTGGTGCCTGTGGTTCCCGTTCTGAACCACCGACATGCACGTCTGTTCTGACAGAATACAGCAGAGTTTTGCTTCTCTGGTCTCTCGGTGCAATTAGAGATCAGCTAGGGTGACTCCCCCGGTGTTGCTCATTTGGCTCAGGAAAGCTGGAGGTTTTCCAGGTCTTTGGTGCTTCCTTATGTATTTATGTTTGTGTTGTCTAGTGTTGTGAAGAATGTTGTTGATATTGTCCTGAGGATCACACTGAATTCCACATCAGTTATGGTAATAGAGCCACTTTATTGGTGTGATTTCTATCTATCCATGAACTAATGTCTTTTCAGATAGGAGAATCATATTAAATTCTTTCCGTAGTTATGTTTTTAGAGGTCTGAATCTTTGCCAGTTGGGTCACTCCCTAAGTACTTTTCTTTGTATTTTGAAGCTACTGTGAATAGCACTGTTTTCTGGATTCCTTCTGCAGCAGGATCACTGTTGGTGTAGAAGAAAGCTATGGATGAATTATGTTTTGCATTTACATCCTGCAATTTTCCTGACTTTATTTTCATCAGATCTCAAGGTCTTCTGCTGGAACTTTAGTGTCTTCCGTATAAAGGGTTCTAGGTCTGGCAGGCAGGGATAATCTGTCATCTTCCTTTCCTGCCTGTAGCCCTCTTATTTCTCTCCTTCCCTAATTATCCTGGTGAAGTTCCAGTCCTAGTCTCACAGTGGCAAGAGGGCACCTTTGTCTCCTTCCCGACATCAGAGGAACCGATTTCAGTCATCCCCGTGTTGTGTGATGTGAGTTTTGCTCAATTTAAGGAGCAGTTCTTCTGTCCTTTTTTACTTCAGGTTATTTTTTCTCATGAAGAGGCATTAAAGTTTGTAAAGGCTTTTTTATGTCTATAAGGAAGATTGTGTGGCTTCAGACCTTGCTTCTCTGTATGTGATGTAACGTATTTATTCATTACGTGTGCTGAACCGTTCCTACATCACTGTGATGAAAATTTTCAGGGAGGCTTTTCATGTGTCCGTGGCTTCATGTATTTCTTCTGTACTTTCCCTCAACAATTTCAAAGTGTTCAGATCTGCCCCCATCTCCCTCTGTAATCTTTGATCTGTTTTGCTTTTATCACAGGGAAATTGATAGGAATCTATTTTCAACCTCTAGACATCCAGTATTTCCAGCCTCGTTATTTAACTTCCAGGTGTTTGTAAAATTTCTGTGGTTTCTTTTGCTTTTATTCTAATTTCAGTGTACAATGTTCTGCTAATAACAGTGAGATGACTTTGATTCTTTCGTATTTATTTGAGTAACCTTTATGAAGCTGTATGTGTTTTATTGTGGAGAGGCTCCATGCACGTGATGGCTACAGCTGCCTGCACTGGTGCCTGTGGTTCCCATTCTGAACCACCGACATGCACGTCTCTTCTGACAGAATACAGCAGAGTTTTGCTTCTCTGGTCTCTCGGTGCTGAGCACTGTCCATATGACTGTAGAGTCCACTTGTTCCAATGTGTGTGTCAGCTCTGACGCATCTTTTTACAGTTTTTCAGTTGATCTCTTTGTAAGAATGGAGCGCTGAGTCTTTCACTATGGCTGTGTCATTTTTTTTTTATGTTCAGTAGTGTGTTTGTGTGTTCGTTTAATGAAGTTAAGTGCACCTAAGTGTTTATATATATACACGCATATATATGTGTACGTATAAAAATTGTTTCTTTATTATTGCTATGTGAATAATTTGGAAGAAAAAATTGTTGTTCCTATTTTGGTGCAGTGTATTATGATGTTCTAAAAATCATATTTCTATCATATAGCATTCTGACCTGGCACCCTAAATTCCATGATAATATCTTAAATTATTTCAGACAAATATCTTCTACCACATGAGCTCTGTGATGATGTAAGAAAATAATTAAGCTGTTACAAATATAGCTGACAGGTTTCTGAATGTCATTGAATTATATTATGCCTAGTTAATAATATGATATAAGTGTTCTCTAGCCTATATCGTAAAACAAATAGGTCCTAATTTCATTAAAATTTAAGAATTTCTGTGTCTTAAATGTTGTCTACCAACTTCTGAATTCAACAGATTGGTTTACTAGCAAAAACATGATAGCATAATTGGTCAAAATCACAGAAATGCATAAAAATGAAAGTAAAGTAAAAGTACATGTTATAAAATGGATTAGAGAGGAACCCATAACTATATGAAATCACTGAGACATTTCTGATGAATCTTGAGTCCCGAAAACATATGGAACAGTACATGTTTATTAAATCCTAATTCTATTTGCAAAGGAAAACAATTGGGAATACATTCAAGGTTGATTCTAAAAACATAAATAACAAAGTAAGAATAAATAATAATTTTATATAATACATAGGATATTATAATGTACTTGTAAGACTCAGATATTTGAGTTATGCTGCACACATTTAAAAGATTTGAAAAAATTAATGGACATGAGTTGCTAAAACTTCAACACCTTCCCAATTTTTTAAAAAAGAGAGCTCCTGCAGGTAATTTTACACACTCTAAACAATAAAATATAATTTTAGGAAAACTAACTTGCACTTCAAGACAAAATATTTCACATAATCATATGCTAAGATTAAAACAATCCATATAATAGTTTTTAAAAATTTTTGCATAAGTAGTTTGCCTGGAAAAATGAAACAATACATTATAAAATAACTTTAAAACAGGAAAGAGAAATTTAAACCTGCAACTATATATTGTATAGAATCTTTAAAAAGAAGATTTTATTTCTCTGCTTGACCTAAGCATATACAATATTCTAAATTCATCATATATCCTTTTCCCCCCAACTTTTCACTACTAAAAATGTAAAACAGAGGAGTCAAACTGCTCCGTACTTTATCACAGCCACACAGACATCAGCAGACGGGCAAAGAAGCTGTGGCTGAAGCTTCTTCTTCTCAGGTCTCAGAGAGCTGTGCTAAGCCGAGGTGAGCAGGTCCACGCCTCACACAGGGCACAGCATGCGGGTCTGTGCTCCGTGACTTCACAGCGTTTCAGGTCCAACTCCTTACACGGTCGGAGTCCTAGTTTTTCCCACATATTGAGAATGTGCTCGTCAGGCAGATTTCAATTACAAAGAGATTATTAGATGTTAAAGATTTAAGCGAATACAGAAAGAAGCAACAATTACCTGGGATATGACAGAAATATAGATGACAATACAGATATTACTAACCATTTATTTAAAGGAACACGTATAAAATGTCAAAATTAATTTTGCGTTTCTCTTCTCTTTAATGATTTTTTACTTTTGCCAAATTGTTCTAACATTAACATAGATCACTCTAATACGATTTAAACTTAAAGTTTTTACTTAGTTATGAAATGAAACTGGGGAGTTCCTGGATTCCCCACCCCACCCCGCCTGCTAGCTCTTTGCATGCCAGCCAATTAAATTTACCAAAGAAATTGCAAAACATGGAGGACTGCTCTTCAAAATTGGTATGCATCAAAATATGTAAGGCATTAGTGTTGGCAAAGTGATGAGCACAGCTGCTTTCTAAAATATCCGAGAAATTCAAGTCTTCTGATAATAATGAGCAGCAGTTACTTTTATCACTCTAAAACTTTTACATCCATCTCCTGATCAGATGGTTATGTAATTATATATCTAGTCCAGTTTAGGGGACTTAGTTGTAACATTTCTGAAAATTCATGAGGATTATTCACTAAAAAGTTTCCAGACCTAGAATACAGATACTTGAATGTTGGATTGGAAAGCAGTTGTTATTAACTACACTGCCCTTACACTCTATGTTATAAACACAATGACCTATGAAAAATGTCCTTTTTTATTATAAAATTTTCTAAAACTGGGGAAAGAGTGAATACAGTGAGAAGGTTTTAAAACTGGCAAGCATATTTTCTTCTTTCGCACATTAGTGGCCCTTGAAATCACATGTATTTAGTCCATTGATTTACATGTACTTAATGACATCCAATTACAGTATGAATTTCTAAAATAATGCTCACAGCACTCTTCAAGATCACGATTAGATAAGTAAAGGCAACTTGAGCAGACCACAGTGAAACAATTGCTTTCAGAGAGAGACCAAAATAATTCTCCAAAGGAAGATGAAAAAGCAGTGTAAATGCTTAACTTGACTGTTATTTTAGCTGCCTGCAGCCCACTCTCTTCCACAGGACTCTCAGGGCAGCGCTCTTCACCTCTTTGTTTCTGAGACTGTAAATGAGAGGGTTCAGCATGGGGATCACAATCGTGTAAAACACAGAAGCCACCTGATCCCTGCCCAAGGAGTAGGACGTCTTCGGCTTTAGGTAAGTAAACATCATAGTGCTGTAGAAGATGGTGACTCCGAGGAGGTGGGAGGCACAGGTGGAGAAGGCTTTCTTCTTTCCTGCAGTGGAATTGATTTTGAGGATAGTGGAGAGGATGGACAGATAGGACCCAGATATTGTGATGAGGGACAGCACTAAATTGGAGCCAGCAAATATGAATATAATGACTTCAACCTCAGAAGTGTCACTGCAGGACAGGGATAAAATAGGCATTGGGTCACAGAAAAAGTGCTGGATAACATGAGAGTTGCAGAACTGCAGTCTGCTTGTGAAAATCGTACCCACAGTGGATTCAACAAAGCTAATAGCATAGGAGCCAGCAACCAGGGCACAGCACAGCCTTGTGGACATAATGACTGGATAGTATAGGGGTCGGCAGATAGCTACATAGCGATCATAGGCCATGGAGGAGAGAATGAAACATTCGGCAGAACCAAAGACTATAAAGAAGAACATCTGGGTGAAGCAGCCCAGGAAGGAGATGCTCTTGGTGGAAGTCAGTAAGTTCTGTAAGGTTTTAGGGGAGAAGACACTCGAGTAGCTGAGGTCGAGAAATGACAGGTGAGTGAGGAAAAAGTACATGGGGGTGTGGAGCTGGGGATCCAGGCGGATGGTCAATATCATCACCATGTTCCCCAGCACCGTGATCAGGTAAATCAGGAGGAAGAGCACGGAGAGGACCAGCTTCACCTCTTCTGAGTCCGTCAGCCCCGTGAGGATGAAGTCAGCCACACCGGTAAAGTTCCTTCTACTCATGGTGTCTTGATGTTGAATAGTCAAAGGTGATACTTAGCTTGACTGATGGCAAAAAATTTTCTCCAAATGGTCTACTTGTAGTTAGGCCTACCTATTCTTAGTTTAGCATTTCGATAATTGGACAAAACTTTACTGAACAAGAAGGAAAAAAATTCCATTTTCACTTAGAGAGATTTAGGGATAAAGTGACATTTCATATTAATATAATAAGAGTTTATATCTATGGAATTAGCATGAACCTGATAGCATTCTACATGCTTCTCTGCATTAACACACATAATGCACATGTGAATTTTATGCTATAGTTACTAGTATCCAATATTATTAGCTACTAAGAAGGGCAAAGAAAGTAACATCTGAAATCAGAGCAATTACATCTCCACTGTGAAACTCTCCAAGGGCTTTAACTCAGGAGGGTGTGCTCGCGGTGTTTATAACTTGTCTTAGCAAACATGAAAAAGGATATGAAAAATTATGATTAAAAATTTAGTGTATTTTTTATTCTCATTTAGTTCCCAATGCCATTTGATATTAACTACAAGTGCATTTCACTTTTTAGGGAACTTAAGTGGGGCACATTAAGATGCTGAACAGATCAAAGCTGAACGGCTAAAATGACTCCTAAGATGACACTAAGATGCTCTAAGAGATAGGCTGCTGCTGCCACGTCCTCCTCCAGGTAGAGCGTGAACACCTGCTTCCTCCTCCACTCAGGTGACCAGACAGGAAGGCAGGCTCTGTCCACAAAGGCCGTCTGCCTCCCAGAGGAAAATGCAGGTGTGGACCTACAGCAGGAGGCCAAGGTCGGGTCTCCTTCACAGCTGGGTGGAAGGCAGCTGGCCCTGAGCTGGACTTAGAAGCCCTTGCACCGGAGCCCGGGAGACGGAGACCAGGGGCAGTGAGAGGCTGGCTAGGAGTACGTGCTTTCTTTCAGTAAAATAATCAAAATAAAAATTCAATCAAAATAAATGTTCTCCCAGTTTTGGGAGGGGGAGAGGGACAATTCTGCAACTCCAGTTCCAGTGTGCTTTCCTAACTTGATCATTCAAAGTCAAATTTCTTCCACAAAGAGATTTTCAAAATATGCTCATTACTTATACACTTTGGTTCCACCATCTTCATATTCACAATTTATAAATACTATACTAATTATGCTTATGATAAAATTTACATGTATATATTTGCATATTCTTCTGATTACATTCCTATTTCATTTTATCTGACTTAAAACTCTCCAATTTTAAAAATGACACTTACTGTGAAAATAAATGCAATATTATCCACCCAGAAATTTTGAAGCTACAAGTTTTTTACAGAAATAAGATCATGATATAAGAAGCTGACACTTTCTGTGATATTTCCTGTCCTTTAAGTGTCACTTTGATGTTTTCCCCCATTCTTTCTCATTAATCAGGCAAATTAAATCACTCTAGAAATCTTGTTCCTGTCTTGGTCAAATGGGTGCATTACCAGGATGTCTGGTCTGGAAAGAATCCCAGGGAGCGACTGTGACCATGACCAGAGCAGGGAGGCCTTCCGTCCAGCAGGCTGATGGCCCAGGCGCCTCCCATATGAGCCCTCAGAACAGCGCTGCCTCCCTCGTCCTCAGGGAGCCATTTCCAGGGAAGACCCCTGGGCTGGGCGAGACCCCAAGGACAAAAGTGCAAGCTGCTAATGAGGAAAGGATTTCACCTTTTCCCTTGCAAGTCCCAGAAGAAGGGCATAAACATGTCCTCCCATGATACTCTAAACTGTGGCTCAGCCCTGTTTATGTACCGTTCTATTGACACAGAGTTGTATACATTTGCAGAGAACAATGTTTACATTCAATAGCGGTCTGTCGGGATTTTTTTTTTTATTGAGTTTATTGGTACATTTTAGGGATACAGTACAGTTACATTCATTGTTGGGATCATGTACCTTTACATGGCAAGTCTTGATTCTCATTTTTTTCCCCTTACCTCTGCCCTCCCTTCACCCCCTCCTCCCCTCCCCATCTACAAACACTTTATTTTCATCTTTTCATTCTCTCACATTTTTTTCTTTTCCCTTTTTGTTCTTCCCCTACGTATCACACCTTCCCTACACCTTTAGCTCCTTTCCTCCCATTTCTAAATGTCAGTAATCTTATTAGAATCTTATGCATTGTTGCAGAATATTCACACCAGGGAAACTATT